AAGTTTTAGTCTTCTTTGTAGATGTTTTAGTCTCCTTGGTAGGAGCTTTGAGTCTTATGTGTAGTAGTTTTATTCTCTTTTGTGGGAGTTGTTGTGAGTCTTAGGTTGGCTTTGTTCATGATGCACTCATGTGTGTACTCCTCCTAGATTCGGCTTGATAGCTGTTGGGCTTATTCTAGCTGATGTCTAATTGTAATCGTGTTTTTTTGTTGTTATAAAATCTATCGTTTCGAGAAAAAAAAAAAAAATCATTCAATAGGGAACTTTAATATATGAAACACGTTACGCTAGTTGTGGGTGCATTTTAATGAGTCAATCCTTATTTACATTCCAAATTGGAAGTGAAATCAATTGAGAAATCAATATTGAAAGTAAATGTGTAGTTAAAATAGTTGAACTTTTTTTTTTTTTTTTCCAACGATAGAAGTGATATAAAACACAAAGCACAAATGTGCGAATACACTAAAGCCAACGACTGAATACACCTTAGCCAACAGCTAAAAAACACAAGAAAACAGAAAAAGGAAGACAGGTCAGAAGACCGCCTAAGATCCCGACTAGCAACGATAGAATAAAAAACACTACGCGAAATAACTAACGAAACACAGACAAACTAAACTGACTACAAGACCCCAACAGGGTAATACCCGAGCGTCGGACCCCAACAGGGTAATACCCGATTGTCAGCCCCAACAGGGTAATACGGTGACACTCGGGCGCGCAGGGTGACACTCGAGCGCACAGAGGCCAACGACCCAAACCGAAAACACAGAAATTAGACACAAACCAACACAAAACAAAACAAGACAACACAAAACAAACACACGCTAAACAAAACGAATATAGACAAACAACGAAGAGCCCTTCCCACAGCAGAAAGCCACGCCGAACACAACTGTGGCAGAGTCGAGCCCAAAATCCCAATCTAGAAACTGCAGGAGCGCCCAAAATCCCACAGCAGAAATAGTTGAACTTTGAATGTATTTGTTTTCGTATCCACACACACACATATATACACACTTATATTTCACAAAATATAACTATATGTAATGTAAAATGTAAATGCATATTAAAAATTATAATAAGATATATATGTATTTTTGCTAATATCTATCGCTGCGAGACAATTATATAGTGATATTTTATGTGGCACCACTAAAATGACTACTTAAATTATTTTTTACTCCACATTTCATCAAATAAATGTTGTAGTGTAGTCTATTATTATTAATTGATTATAAACTATATTTTATATATTTGCAAAGTAAACAAAATTATAAATTCTTATTATCATGCATGCATTTGAGACATTTTTTAAAACAAGCAAACTCAACATACATGTTTGATTCTATCAACCTAACTTATCACCATCTGACATAATTCTAAAATTACAATTTAACAACATCAGAGATCACATTAATCTAATTTATATTATTTGGTAGAATTTTTAAATTACATTTCAACTAGTACAACACCCGTGTATTACACGGGTGTTTGTTAAAAATTATTTTTAAATTTTAAAATTAATGAGAAAACTATATTAAATTTAGTTTATTTTTTACAAAAAAAATATATTATTATATATTTTTGAATGATATGTGTTACTTATGACTTACATGTGTTATATTATATTAGTTTTTATAATT